CGTCTGATCCTCTCAGACAGCCAATAAGTACTTACAGTACCTCTTTCTCATTAGCTGAGTCGAGATGACACAAAACAACATCTTCAATATCAGTATTTACTACTCACTCAAAGTGCTTGATACACAGCAAGGTCAACTAGCGTCCTGAAAGTCCTAGAGAATCAACGAGGAAGTCTACCTCTCATATGTGTACCAAGCACCACTTACCACTGAAAGCGTTGGACTTACCACAATTAATTTTACGAATCCAAAAGCATGTACCTCCCCCCCCCCCCCCGTGGCTCAGCAGTAAGTCTCAAGGCTTATAATGCTAAAAACTGAATTTTGATACTGTGGTGTGCACAGTACCAATAATCATCTGTGTAATAACTTTGTGCTTAATAGATGGAGGATCTATCAGCATCTGCTGCAGCACAAACATCACGGAGGGCCTTGGGGACTCTATCCACACACTAGCATCCAATGGGCCTGAGTTTTAGCACATGGATATGGCAGCTGATCAACCCTCAGCAGAACACGAGCTTGGCATAATACAGGTGCCCCAGAAGGGCAGACTGGACGAGGTACAGTCACTGAACTACTGTTACAGGCTTATTCCTCTTGTTACCTGTTGAAAGTTAAAATCTCGAACCTATTCATCACATGTACTGCCTCCATTAGTGTGAGAATGCCTTTCTCTCCCAACTAATATCACATCATTTTACTTAGTGTCTCACAACAAACTTATCAATGAACTATCGATGAGTCGCGTTTCACAGTTTTCTGTATTGTCTGTGGTATAAAACAAATGCCTGGGGTTATTTACCCATCTTCTTGTGTTGTTTTTACAATAAAAGCTACTGAAGTTAATGGGATGGGAAAGTTCTTCTGACAAGGGTTGGGTGCTCTTTGATTCTTGTAAAATGACAACATGATGACTGTACTTGAATGTTGTTTCCTGTCTTGTTTCATTCACAGTGCTCTATTTCCTTCCTGAAGATAAAGCAGAGATAGAATTTAATAATGGTTGGAGACGGCTTGAATGGGTAATGAAGAAAAACTTTAATATAAGTTTAACATAACAGCAAATGTACAACGTTTCGACAAGGTTTTGTCACCATCAGGGATAGAATTTGTCCATTTTTTTTCCACATTTCCCTTTTTTTTTTCTTCACAGTGAAAAACGTCATTATTTCTGTGATTTATATCAATCCAGGTCAATTTTCGTGGGGGTAACCCTCGTTGAAATATTCGGGCCCCATTCGATCACTATTTGTTTTCATTGCCTGTGTATATTTCATCAGTTCATCTGGCTCTAAATAATCCACACAGTGAAAATTTAGAACGTGTGTGGTGATTAGATGAACATGCGCCAATAATAGCCTTTTGTCCAATAGGAAACTTTTTTTAGTTGTCGCCAGGGGAAGTGAAAGACATGCGCTGAGCCAGAACAAGTCAAGAGACGGAGAGAGGTATTTTCAAAAAAATAATCCGTTCAATATCGACTGTTATAAGAGCCATCCGTTACTAACAGTATTGACCTTATACATCATTTTACCATCGTATTCCACATTATGTCATCTTGTGCATCAGCCATTTAACCACAAGATCGCATTCAAACATGATCCTTCATTTTTTTATTTCACTCACTTGATCCAACTGTGATAAACGTTCTCAATTTTTTCAAATTGTCATGTAAACATCGATCTAGACTACTTTCATTACAACTTCTCATCAGTTTGTCTACTATTCGTTTGATTAAAAATTATTTGTGTCCTAATTTAGCTCCGCGAATCTGCTGTATTTGTGGGAGATGATAGAATGCTTTTCGTATGCTCCAATGATATTTGGCACGCCATATGTAGGAGAAGATAGATTCTAATGGCAATTTACACTGATGCCGCATGTGCACCAGCGAATTCTTTCCTTTTTTTTTTTTTTGTTAACCCACTCTCATCCCCGATCAAGGGACTTTCAAAACCAGTAATGCAATATAACAATTTTTCACGCTCTTAATTTCTGAAATTGGCTCGAAGTATATGAGAGTAACTTCAGTTCACCATCCTAAAGCAGTTATTGTCTTTAAATATGATGAACATCGCATTTGCCACCGTAATTTTCTACTAACACGTGAACAACAGAATATTTTACCCTCGACTACAATCGAACAAGACAACTTCCAACATATTGTGGAATGTGCCACGTTAAGTTCAGTTAGACTTACAGCAGAGAAAAGTGGTTTACTTCAATATTAACTGTGGGTCCTCGTAAATTGTATATTTTCTCTATTACAAAATCTTGAAAGAGTTCCATGTAACGAATGATATGTGAATAATTGCATTGGTTAAACTGAAACTAGAAATGTATTTTGATTATTAGAAATCAGTTTTATAATATATAGACGTATACATCCTTAAACCAGATTGTAGCACTTGACCGTATTTGTTATTTTAGGTTATGAAAATGTGTGTGAGTTTTGTGATGTTCACCAACAATCGATTTTGTTACCTATGATAGAAGGAAGTTGTAATATAACTTTACTTTCTGCACTGTGTTTGATAGAAGGAAGTTGTAATATAACTTTACTTTCTGCACTGTGTTTGATAGAAGGAAATTGTAATATAACTTTACTTTCTGCACTGTGTTTGATAGAAGGAAGTTGTAATATAACTTTACTTTCTGCACTGTTTGATAGAAGGAAGTTGTAATATAACTTTACTTTCTGCACAGTGTTTGATAGAAGGTAATTGTAATATAACTACTTTCTGCACTGTGTTTGATAGAAGGAAGTTGTAATATAACTACTTTCTGCACTGTGTTTGATAGAAGGAAGTTGTAATATAACTTTACTTTCTGCACTGTGTTTGATAGAAGGAAGTTGTAATATAACTTTACTTTCTGCACTGTGTTTGATAGAAGGAAATTGTAATGTAACTTTACTTTCTGCACTGTGTTTGATAGAAGGAAGTTGTAATATAACTTTACTTTCTGCACTGTGTTTGATAGAAGGAAGTTGTAATATAACTTTACTTTCTGCACTGTGTTTGATAGAAGGAAGTTGTAATATAACTTTACTTTCTGCACTGTGTTTGATAGAAGGAAGTTGTAATATAACTTTACTTTCTGCACTGTGTTTAGAACGGATAATTTCCAGAGGATAAATTATTGTGACAAAATATTTTCAATAATAGGAATAAAAACATTTTTGCCAGCTTATAAACGAACAATTATATCAATTATTAGGTTTAAACAAAACTAAATCAAAAAGTGCAGTTTATACGCCAGGAAAATAAACTAATTACTAATTGAAACATAAAGAATACATGCGTTTAATCTTTTATGAATTGAAATAAATAATTCAACGATCGCTGTGTAAAATGTAAACCTTATTTAGTTTGTTGCAGGAATTGAAGACGATAATAAACGAACTGTGTGCGACTTACTACGATGGAAGAACTTGAGAAGAGTATTTGTATTAACAAATCTAACGTGGTAAGTAGTTTTATTGGTCGCACCTTGGGCGCGTGAAGTCATATACCACTATAGGTATTCAATGGATGTCATTTGTCTTTAAAGTTTACACTCTGTTTTATAGACGAATTTTAACTTATTGTCGATATAGCATTCAGATAATTTTTCTCTTAATCATGTAAGAAATATTGCTAGTATGGTATGACTAATACAGCAGTTTTATTCAGCAAACCTAAAATAACAACAGATGGGACGTTTAGTTTTTAAGCATTGGTGTGAAAGTGGAAGGAGGTTATGTTTTCCCCCCTGTGTGTGTGTGTGTGTGTGTGTATGTATTTGTCACCACGATTTCTCTCGAAAGGCTGAATGGATTTGGACGAAAGTGGACATACATTTGAACAGTGACCCAACTTAGAAGTGATTAGTTTTTGGAAGGTCAAGGTCACAGCAAGGTCATGAAAATTAAAAAAAAACTATTTGTTAACATGGGACCGATTTTTAATACTATTTTTGCTCTATGACTTAGCCAAAAAAGGATCAGATTTTGAATAAACTTTGTGGACATGTGTAGAATATTATTCCCCATTGTCCTGCTATTGATAACGATCGGCATACGGACACATTTTCGTGTTTTTTTGGGTTTTTTTAGGGTCGAATATGATTGTTGGATATACAAGACTGTTTAGTGTAGGCATTATTATTTAACTTATTTTGTTAATATTTAATGATTGTCTAGTTTTTCATAACAAGAGATTTAAAAGTTAATCATTTAAAGGCGATAGTTATGACAAGTTTGGTTTGCACATCACATTGTTGTCGAGGCTTTACTAATATTGTTGACGTCACATCACTCGAACCTTCGCTATATATTTTTTTTTATCATTACCATAACTGGGTATTGTTAAATCAGCACTGTTGTGTACTTTACAGAAAGTTCGAAGCCTCAGTGATCAATGTGTAAATATAGGCGACCAAGCGAGTGCAAGTTAAGAACTAAAGAACCAAAGTTATGTAAAGTAAAATGCAGTTCAATCAGAAAATTACTTAACGAAAGAAAACGTAAAGTTACCCAAGGTGTGAGTGATTAGCCATAACAGGCGATATTTTAAAGTGGGTTTCACAGTTTAATAGAGATATTAAGAATAATTTGTCTTGTCAAAGGGTGTTCTAAAGTAATTGAACCTGTCTGTGTGGACTTTGACGAAAAGGAAACAATTATTTGAAGTTCTGGATACAATTGTGGTAACTCACTGGGTAGCGTAAGTGAACTATTCACTTGTACTATTGTGATAACAGCAGAAAAAAAAAGTTCATCTTGTCAATTCGATTCTAAAGTAATTGAATCAGCCTAAGTGGACTTTTGACATAAAGAGAGAATTATTTAGAATTTGAGATGCAACTGTGATATCCATAGTGTAAAGAATTTTTGTTCATAGTTTAACTTGTTTTGAAGATGTTACTTTAAAACAAATGGATTGTGTGTTGTCCGTTTATTTATTGTTCGAATTTATCGCCAAAAAGACACAGACACCGACTGTAGAAGAATCCTCAGCCCACTCATATTTAAAACCCTGACAATGATCAACACTACGTGGCGAGGGTATGGGCTCTACTGAGTGCCCCTCTAATTCTATTTATGAACGACGACTAAAGACAATTTCTCATAAGCATTTGTTTCTTTTCTCAACTTCTTGAAAAAGGTTTTGATTTCCTGGTATCGTAAAGGCTCTTTATAACAGGTATTTAACCAGATGTTATTTAAATATGAATGAGTGAAATTTTCAAACTGTAAACTTTGTTACTTAAAACATCTAAAACGAGAGTTTGTCATTCAGTTAATTTTCAACAGTAAACTTTATATTGGGGAGTTTACCATTTATAATCAATTCCCGTCAGTAAACATACTCGCCCTTTCAGCCGTGGGGGTGTTATAATGTGACAGACAATTTCATTTTACGTTGGAAATGAATACCCCCAAAAGTTCGCGGTAGGTAGCGTTTACTAGCTGTCTTCCCTCTAATCTGTCACGTCTAAATTAGGAACGGCTAAAGATAGCCCTCGAATAGCTTTGCGTGAAAGTCAACAAAACAAGCAAACCATTTAAGAACTGGAGAAGTTCGTTAACAAGCTCAGCATTGTATACAGAAGATATGTTGATGACACTTTTGTGACGTTTAACACTGTTGAGTCGGTTAACGGATTTCTCCAGTTTTTAAATGGTAGACATTCTGATGTAAAGTGTCGCTCTTTCATTTTCATGTCTTAAATAACCAGGGTATACTTATCACTAAAGAGTGTAATAAACGTTCATTTCGCCCATCGGGGTGGAAACTTCCCAGGTCAAAACTTATTTTGTTTTTTAGTTTTTTTGTAAATAATGTTTTCCGTTTTATCCTTTCTTAAAGAGTTTTATACAGTAAATTGTGTATCTATTATTTTTAAACTATAATGCATATATATTCATATATGTATGTGCATGTATTTATATAGTAATTTGTATGTGTATATTTGGGTGTATCTGTGTATATATATCATTATCTATTGTTTCAATTGTTTGTAAGTATTGTTATACACGTATATTTGTTATGTTGTCACGTCACGCGACCTTCGATTTAGAATGTTTTCGTTTACGGTGTTACGTCTCCGTTTGTTAATTAAGTTTCCGTAACTTCGTTCCGACGAAAC